TTCATTCCGTGACTCACCAATATTCTTAACTGCATGGTAAATGTTGAAGACCTTCCAGAATTCCTTCAGGGTTGGTCCACCTTCCTTCTCGGTTGCCCTGATGGCCTGGGCAAACATGCTCCTAAGATAGTAGGCCTTGAAGGATGCAAATATCCCCTGGTCCATGGGTTGCAACAGTGAGGTGGTATTGGGGGGCAGAAACACCACTTTGACGTCAGGACACATGTCATCTAGGATGGTTGGATGACCAGGAGCATTGTCAAGGATTAACAATGCTTTAAATGCAAGACTATTTTTGCTGCAATAATCCCTGACACTTGGCACAAAATAATGATTAAACCAATCCTCAAAAATGTTCCTGATGACCCGTGCCTTAGGACTGGATTCCATATCACTGGGAGAAATGCCTTGGAATATCTCTTGGAAGCCCTGGGGTTTCCTGAACAAGCAAAAGTTTAAGTTTAAAGTCACCTGCAGCATTTGCACCGAGCGAAAGAGTGAACCTATCTTTAGCAGCTTTGTGCTCTGGCACGGATTTCTCCTCTTTGGGAATGTCAGTTCTTGACGGCATATTTTCCCCCAAAAGAGCCCAGTTTCATCAACATTCAAATCATGCTGAGCACAATCCCCTCCCACCCCCCACCCCCAATGATCTCAGCCAATGTCTCAGGAAAAACACGAGCTGCCTCTTCATCAGTACTGGCCGCTTCACCGGAAATCTTGATGTTATGCAAATTGGCCCTGGCTTTAAAACGCATCAACCAGCCCCTACTGGCATTAAAAGGCTCAGCATTGGAACTCTCCCCTGCGGTATGTTTAGATCATCATAAAGACTCCCGGCCTTCTCCTGAATTCTGCCTAAACTCACAGGAGCATGGTGTCGATTTTGATCCTCCAGCCAAACAATGAACAGTTTCTGAACCTGGGCAATAAGTCCAACACACTGATTAGTTTTCACAGTGGCTTGCATAGGAACTGAGCCCTTAACATGTTCCTGAAGTCGTACCTTGCCTTTCAGGATGGTCACAATGGTCGTTTGGGGGATATCAAAAGCTCTACAGATTTCAGTCGCTGTCTCACCTTTTCCAGACCTCTTAATTATTTCCATTTTTGTTTCCATAGTCATTGTTCTACTTTTCTTAGAGAAGAAACATCACTTGCATCAGATTTATGCTTTTCTGCCATTATTATTAAATTTTAAATCAATTTTAAAAACAGTTCGGAAGCACAAAGATTCAGCACGTAAAAATGGTGTTGGAACAGCAATTGAGCATTTTGAGTCAGGGAGACGGGCAGCGCAGAATATCGATGCGCACATCTGAACCTGTTCACTGGCGTGGCGTTGCGTCAGCTTGAGCACCGTAAAGTCGAAATCGATGTTGGAAAGTCAAAACTGGGTGTCAATTTATAAATGGTGTAAGTGCCGTTCGTCATAACGCGAACGTCGTGAAGTCGAGGACTGCCTGTATTCCAAATAATTATTTGGAAGATCTCCATCTTATGACTTATACTTTCCTTGTTCAAAATTTAAGCAGACTAGAGATGAAAGGATCCGGCCCAAAGCTTTCCTTTATAATTCTTCTGGCCAGCTGACAAGCCTCCTCACAGAAATTGTCATAGCAGGGCTTTCCTGGGAAGATGAATAGGCAATGTGGACCTTTGCTTTGAAAGGTTTCAGAGTAACAGCCGTGTTAGTCTGTATTCGCAAAAAGAAAAGGAGGACTTGTGGCACCTTAGAGACTAACCAATTTATTTGAGCATAAGCTTTTGTGAGCTACAGCTCACTTCACTTTCATGCTTTGAAACTAATCTATTTCCTCTGCATACACAGGTAGCTAGTTACACTCATTCACATAAGGCAATTAGACGATCCTCCATTATAACAGAGATAGTTAAGATGAAGACAATATAGATAACATTATTAGTTTCCTGCAGTATCTCACATCTTTGATCTTAAGGTTACTTGGACACAGTCACACACATAATTAAGTCAATTAACTAATGCAAGGGAATTAACAGCTACAAGCTAATCTGGTTACATTGTTAAACTTTTAACAAGATATAGGTAAACACAGACAAATACATTAAGCATCTACCCTTTGATTCTTATCAATGCAGAGTAAATGAGTTGAGGATTGATAGCTTAGTTAACATTTCTTTGACATCCATACATGAGTGAGTCATCTTGATTACAATTGTTATGCCTCCTGTTAAGGTACAATGGGTACACACTGGTTGGCTGATCTGTCAGTGTCACAGCATCATCTAACTCTTTGTTTTTTGATAACAGAAATATTGTTGTTTTCACTAGACAGTATATTGATCTGTCAGGGTTTTCAAACTGGGGATCACGACTCCTCAGTGGGTTATTACGTGGCCAGCCAGGCAGGGGATGGGTGATGCTGCCTGGAGCTGCAGGCAGCCGAATGTGCCCTTGCAGAGCCAGAAGGCCAGACCCTGCGTCCCCCCTTCCTGTGGGCATGGTGGCCAGGGGCTGTATGGCCAGAGGAATCCCAAAGGCTCAGAAACTCCCCCCGTGCAGCCTGGCTTGGGTGGCCGGCGTGCGGAGTCAACAGTGTGCCCTTGTTTCCAGGAAGGCTAACGGCATATTGGGCTGCATTAGTAGGAGCATTGCCAGCAGATCGAGGGAAGTGATTATTTCCCTCTATTCGGCCCTGGTGAGGCCACATCTGGAGTATTGTGTCCAGTTCACACACACCCCCTCCCCCCGCCCACTACAGAAAGGAAGTGGACAAATTGGAGAGAGTCCAGCGGAGGGCAATAAAAATTATTAAGGGGCTGGGGCACAATACTTACGAGGAGAGGCTAAGGAAACTGGGGTTATTTAGTCTGCAGAAGAGAAGAGTGAGGGGGGGATTTGATAGCAGCCTTCAACTACCTGAAGCAGGGATTCCAAAGAGGATGGAGCTCGGCTGTTCTCAGTGGTTGCAGATGACAGAACAAGAAGAAATGGTCTCAAGTTGCAGTGGGGGAGGTCTAGGTTGGATATTAGGAAACAGTATTTCACTAGGAGAGTGGTGAAACACTGGAATGGGTTCCTAGGGAGGTGGTGGAATCTCCTTCCTTAGAGGTTTTTAAGGTCAGGCTTGACAAAGCCCTGGCTGGGATGATTTAGCTGGTGTTGGTCCTGCTTTGAGCAGGGGGTTGGACTAGATGATATTGTGGTATTGTGGTATTGTGTCTCGGCTGCCAGACTCTGGAATGGGGTTTGCAGCTACACTGGAAGTGGGGTCGTGTCTCACTGGCATAGCCGCACTTCCTCCATCACTTGCCTTATTCTGTGTGGATGGCTCCATTCAGCGGGACGCAGTTGAGCTGGGCCTTGTGGATGAACCTCCAGTAGGCAAATCGGGTGAAGCTGCCCCTGGGGAGGAAGTGGTTGCTGGCATCCCACTTGCATGGCAACTCGAAGGCCTTGCCCAGGTCCGGTTTCCGCTTAAGGTTTTCCACGTATTGACAGATGCACCCAGGTCTGGTATCTGCATTTCAAAAGGGATGTGGGAAAAACTGGAGCACGTGAAGGGAAGAGCCACAAGAATTAGTCGAGGGCTGGAAAAAATACCTTTCAAAGAGTGACTGAAAGAACTCAGTCTAGTTAGCTTCTCAGAGAGAAGAGCAAGGGGTGACTTGGGGACCGGGTACCAGCACCTTTGTGGGGAGAATATACCGGGCAATAAAGTGCTCTTTAACCCAGTGGAGAAAGGCAGAACAATGACCAACGGCTGCAGGCTGAAACCAGACAAATCCCAGTAAGAAATCAGGGCCACATTTTCCACAGGGAGGGTGATCAACCATTAGAACAAAGTCCCAAGGGACGTGATGGAATCTCCATCCCTGGGTGTTTTCAGACCAAGCCCAGAGACCTGTCTGACAGAGATGCTTTAGCCAAACACAAGCTGTTAGGCTCCATACAGGGGGAAATGGGTGAAATTCTCCAGCCTGTGTTGTACAGGAGGTCAGACTAGATTATCATATGGTCCCTTCTGGCCTTACAATGTGTGAAATTATTCAATGATCCCTACCTGCACCACTAATTCTAGTCCTGCTGCTAATGTGCGACAGGCTGGAAATCAGCCCCTAAGGCCTTGAATGTCACTCGCTGTCCAATGGGCACGTTGCTACCCGGTTACTACGGTACATGGAGAAACCTTCTCATTAGGGTGGGATTCCCCCTGAAATGGGTTGGTTTAGGGGGGGTTGCTCAACTTCACCACAAGCCCAGCTCTTGGGGCGCATGATGAGCGGGGAGCAGCTTGGGGGGAAAGGATGGCAAAGGGGGAAGGCACTGGGGTGTGACTCAAGGGGTCAGATCCTACTCCCAGCTCAGCCAAAGCCTTCCCACCAGAGCTTGGACAAGTCCCCCAGGTCTCTGGTGCTGCAGTTCCCCAGGTGTGAAAGCAGGACAGCACTGCCATCTGCAAGGGGAGCCACGCGGAGGAGGCCCACCCAGGACTGGGGCACTCTGCTGTTACCGTTGATTCCTGCGTAGCAAAGCACATGAAATGTGCGGGGAGGGTTTAACCTCCACTGAAGCCCATCCAACCCCACCGTCCCATCTGCACGAGATGGGCCTGATCTTGTCTCCTTTCCAGGGCTCGCCGGCTGGTGTCACTGGCTGGGTTTGAAAGAGACTCAGTGCAGGACTTCAGCAAACACAGGGGCAGAGAATCGTGTGTCATCCTGTGTGGTTTGCAAATGACTAAATTTAAACTTAAAATCCGCAGCCCGCCCCTCCCCCGTGAGCATGTGCAGGGCTGGCTCCTTATCTGTAAATCAGCAAGAGACTTTCCAGCTCCTGTTCTGTCCCCTCTGGCCACTGGTACATGTGTGGGGGAGAGGTAGATTCCATTCCTTCATTATCATTTATTAATAACTATTCCCCTCCATCCCCTTCCCCACCTCCACGCACTCGCCACCGCAGCCATGGAAATCCCTGCTGAGGGCTATAAAATACAGAGGCAGGCGAGGAGGAAGCCAGACCCTTCTCGGCCACCCCACTGTGGAGCAACCTGCCTCTGCTGCAGCGGGAGCCGAGAGAACCTGCCTGGAAATGAAGGTCACCTCCTTAGCCCTGACAACGCTGCTCCTTGCCGCTCTCTGGACTGAAGCCCACTGCGATTCCTGTAAGTAGCGGATCCACCCCTGTCCTTACTCTACAGAGCCCTGCCTTGCCAGACGCCTCCAGCCCAGCCATTTCCAGCACCGGCGTTAGGGCCCGGGAGTTTTGGAAGGGCAGTGGGTGAAGCAGAGGAAGAAAGGGGTGTGGGTGGGCCCTGCGCTGGGACTCAGGAGATGTGGGTACAAGTCCAGTCTCCGTCACTGAGGCTGGATTTCCAAAGCTGCTTGAGGGGTTTGGCTGCCGAAATCCCACGGCAATTGCACCAAAATCCCCTAGGAAGCTTTGGAAATCTGAGCCGGACTCTTCCTAGGCCTCAGGTTCCATCTGTGAAATGGGGATAAGGCTTTGTGATCTGGAGGCCGAGAGCTGCCTGCTCCAGAGCTCAGATATCGATAGCCCTTTATCCCAGGCTCTGAAAGGCATTCACCAGCATCACTGAATTAACCCTCACCAGCCCCCAGTGGGAGTGTCAGTACCCTTACCCCCATGCTGCTGGCAGGGAAACCGAGGCACAGAGCAGCAAAGGGACAACCCAGATCACTCAGTGGCAGAATGGAGAATCGTCCGTTTCTTATGCCAGTGGAGGGCAGAACAACAACAACCATTAACCCGATTGCGGTGGAGCCGGGGGAGCACCCAAGAATTCCCATCTGCCTCCAGAAAGGGGGGGTGGCTGTTAATGAGAACAGAACTAGTCAGTGTAAGAAATTCTCTCCAGTCAGCGCTTCCTTAGAATCATAGAATCATAGAATATCAGGGTTGGAAGGGACCTCAGGAGGTCATCTAGTCCAACCCCCTGCTCAAAAGCAGGACCCATACCTAATTAAATCATCCCAGCCAGGGCTTTGTCAAGCCTGACCTTAAAAACCTCTAAGGAAGGAGATTCCACCACCTCCCTAGGCAACGCATTCCAGTGTTTCACCACCCTCCTAGTGAAAAAGTTTTTCCTAATATCCAACCTGAACCTCCCCCACTGCAACTTGAGACCATTACTCCTTGTCCTGTCCTCTTCCACCACTGAGAATAGTCTAGAACCATCCTCTCTGGAACCACCTCTCAGGTAGTTGAAAGCAGCTATCAAATCCCCCCTCATTCTTCTCTTCTGCAGACTAAACAATCCCAGTTCCCTCAGCCTCTCCTCGTAACTCCTTGTTCCTGAGGGGAGGAGAACTAATTCCCTTTCCCTTCTTCTCCCCAGTCGTCAGCCAGAGCAACACATGCTGCATGAAAGATAATTTTGTTCCCAGAAGAATTTCTCCAAAACACATCAGAAGTTGCAGACCCACAGGTCCTAACTGCTCTCGCCAGGCCGTGATGTGAGTACCCCGGGGCGTCCCACACACGGGCTCGCCGTGTCTGTCTCATCCTGGGGCCGTAGCGCTGCCAAATACAGGCAAATAAAATGCCGCCACGTGCTTTTACCTTTGATATGCAACCCCAGTAATTTCCTCTCGCGCTCCATGGTCTTTACCGCCTCGCTACTCTGTAGCCGAGATCCAGTCTCAGCTGCTGTAACGACCTCCTCTAATGCTGAAACCTCGGTCCGAAATATTCTGCAAGAAGAAAAGGAGGACTTGCGGCAACTCGTGGGACTTGTGGCACCCTCATCACATCCGCTGAAGTGGTCTGTAGCACACGAGAGTCTAATGGTCTGGTCAGTCTCTAAGGTGCCACAAGTCCTCCTGTTCCCTTTGCGGCTACAGACTAACGCGGCTGCTCCTCTGAAACCTGTCACTATTCGGTGGCACTTTTACAGACATGGAGTCAGGAACTGTAGGTGACCAACTGTCTCCTGACAGGAACAAAGTGCCTTGTGGGACGGGATGTCTTTGTATTTTTATGGTGCGCCTGAACGGCCTGTGTTGCAAATGATCAAGTAAACAAACAGGGGGTTCTCAGGGTCGTCAGCCTGACTCACTGGGGCTCAGTTACAAAAGGAAAGTGGAAAGGGGCAATCGCACCGTTGCTAAGGGGCGGGTGTCACCAGGCAGCGCTGCTGGCAGATGACACAGCCTGGCTAACTGGGGTTCGGGGCTGTAGGAGTCAGAGACGCACTAGAAGGACTGCGTGTGCTTCCCCTGCTCTGGGCTAGCCGGGAGCCCAGCTCAGCAGGCTCAAGCTGCACAAGCCGAGGCCTGTGGGGGCTCTGGTTCCAGCAGCAGGGTGGGGGCTGTAGCTCAGGAGCGAAAGGTGTTGGCAGAGCTGGGGGTGGGGGGTGGAATTGGGCTGGCAGGGGATAGGCAGCCGAGGGCAGCAGTGCGTTGACCAAGCTGGTGGGGCTCCTAGTCCAAGGTGGCAGGGTGGCAGCCCACGGTCCTGGTGTATTGACCGGTCTGCGTGGGGGGCACCGATTGCAACAGCACAAGCTCTTGCATGTCCGACTGAGCTGTGTTGTTGCTGGGGGAGGCAAGTGCCCACAGCAGCAGCCCCACAGCACCGGGCCTGGGCCCAGGCAGCTCTGTCAGCCTCCTGCGTTCAAGAGAACCGATTTCACTCCGGAACCAGATCGCTTCAGGGACAAGTGCCTTGGTTCCCAGTGCTCTCCCAGTCACTGCCCTGCCGTGGGAGCTGGCATCAGTCTGGGCGTCACCTTGCATTTGGTAAGGGAGCCGGGCTCATCTCTCTCTCTCTCTTTCTCCTCACAGAGTGACACTCACACAGGGGAAGGAAGTCTGTGTTGATCCCAGTAAGATATCGCTGGCCACATGTCAAGGAAAGCAAGAAAAACCACGTAAAGACACCCAGACTGCACAGCTGAGACAGAAGCAGCTGGACAAGAACTCCGTGTGATGCTCCACATTATTGACATGGACTGATGTGCATCAGTGCACGGTTTAGAGAAGCTATTTTTCTAGCCCTCTTTATTTAAGGAGAACCCCTCCCACTCCTCCATCCCTTCTGTGTCCTTTGTCCCCCAGTGACTGTGTGATGGGGAAGCGACCCCCTGCCAACACCACTGTCATTCTTTGCAGATACAATAAAGTCCAGTGTTTTCCAACGTGACCCATTGCTTCTGCTTCTGTGAATAGGAAATGCCCCCATTTCCTGGACAAGGAATGGCCATGTCAGTATTTTGTCACTATGGAGACCCACAGATGGGCCAGGTCGCCATGGTGTCACTATGGAGACCCACAGGTGGGCCAGGTGACTATGGTGTCACTGTGGAGACCAAGGATGGGACATATTGCCATAGTGTAACTATGGAGACCACGGATGGGCCATGCCACCATGGTGTGTCTCCAGAAAGAATTCCCCCCACTTACGTTTGGCTGAAGTTGGAATAGGATCCCAGTCATAGAACTGATGGGAGGTGACTTCTCCCTTCCCAGCTCTGAGCCCCGCACCCAGCCTTCCTGCTCTTGCCAGAGGCGGCCCTGGCAGAGGAAGGGAAAGAACATCTCAGATTTGGGAGGCGGCTCTGGGGCAGGACTGGGAAGGCTGAAATGTCTGGTGCTATCTGTCAGTGAACAAGCCCAGCTCCCCTCTGCCAGAGGTTCAGTGGCCTGCCGTGAGATGCCATAGGTGGGAGGGGAGAGGAGCAGAAGCTGGGGTGACAGGGATCAGAGTAGAAAGTTTCAGGGACAGGCTGTGTGGCAGGAGCAGAAGAGTCACACTCTCCTTTGCAGAACCTGTAATTGAACCCAGGAGTCCTGCGTCGCACCATCCCTCTGCACTCAGCAAATAGCTGTGAAACCCTCTGGCAAAGTGTGTGTCTCCATCGCACTCTAGCACCAGGCCCTCATGGAAGATAACAGTCTTCTACTGCTACCAGTCACTCCATTAGCTGAAGTGGTAGAGGTCTGTGCTGTGGATCTACAGATACCCCAGCAGTGGAAGGGGCTGGCCGCCCAAGGGAGTACCGAAGATCCCCAGCAGGATTGTACATGGCTGGCTAGGGCTGCGGCGTTTGGCATGCCAGCTCATTCGAGGCTAGCTCAGGTACGTCTAGACGTGCTGCGATCGCCCCTCCCGATTGCTCTGTAGACAGACCCTTAAACACTCCAAGCTCTCACTCTCTGATGCCATTCCTGCCAGCCAACTCCTCCAGACCCTCAAGCTCCCACCTCCCCCTAGCCAGGGCAGCTTCAGCATTTAGCTCTCTCCTTTATGATCTCTCATGCGATTGTTTCTCTGGCCTCCCAGGGCAACTAGCAAAAATCCATGAACCCCCATTCGCAGCCCCAGGAACATCCCCCCTGGATCCATGGAGCTCATAGGGGCCCCACCCCACTCCCAGCAATGGACAAATTGCGTAGCCCCTGGACTTCGGGATTTCCCTGAGCTTGTTCCTCTGTTCACACCCTGCCCCCTACACACACACTAACGCACACTCACCCTTGTTCTTCACACGAAGATCTTCTCTTGTCTACGGGGCTTCCCTGGGGTCCTTCCACGTTGCCTGGTAAATGTCTTCTCTGTTGGCGTAGCAAAGCGAGACCCAACACTGAGTATTTCTTACCTTGCCTGGCCGTCTGAACTGCGATAACTTTTGAACACTGATCAATTTCCAATTTCAAAATTCAGTGGAGAGCGGTGAGCGGGTGGGGAGCCCAGTTCCTCCCATTTACTCATCGGCCTGCTCCCCAGGGCCCCGGGCCCGGCTGGATTGAAAGCGCTGCTGCTGAGCCAGACAGTGGAGCTCTGCACGTGATCACAGATGGTTTGTTCCACAGGACCCTGCCTCATTCAGTGCACAGTTTGGACACACAGGGGACCTGTGTCCCAAGGTCCTCTGAAGGCCAAGTGGCAGAGGGCTCAGGGGTGTAGAGAGACCTCAGGGATCTGCTGGGTTCACCAGTCAGCTGAAATGCCATGTAAGGAAAGCCTATCACATGACCATAATCATTGTGAAATGTATGTATGGAAAATGTGTGAGGAGTTGTATATATATATGTCAGCAATTATATTCTTGTCGTTAGAGGCAGGCCTCACAACGATAGCGAGTCTTGAGACAGGAGACAGGAGACATTCTCTGGACTATTGAGTGGTGTGTGTCTTACAATCGAAGTCTACTAGTGCTAATGGCTGAGCATGATAAGTTTATGGAAGGGATGCTATGTTGAGATTGCCTGCAATGGAATCTGGCCCATCTGCGACTGCTAGTAGCAAATTCTTCCAACAGGCAGAGATGGGACACTAGGTGGGGAGGGCTCTGAGTTACTACAGAGAATTATTTCCCAGGTGTCTGGCTGGTAGGTCTTGCCCACATGCTCGGGGTCTAACTGATCACCATATTTGGGGTTGGGAAGGAATTTTCCCCAGGTCAGATTGACAGAGACCTTGGCAGTTTTTTTCCTTCCTCTGCAGCACAGGACATGGGTCACTTGCTGATTTAAACTAGTGAAAATGGTGGATTCCCTGTATCTTGTAGTCTTTAAATCACAATTTGAGGACTTCAGTAACTCAGCCAGAGGTTAGGGAGTGCGTGGGTGAGGTTCTGTGGCTTGTGATGTGCAGACGGTCAGACTAAATGATCATGATGGTCCCTTCTGGCCTTGAAATCTATGAGTGTATGAGTTTGTGGCGATTTCAAAAGGAAACTAACAGGAAGAGGTAAACAGTGGGGAGGTGAACCCTATTTTGAGATGAAGGAGAATGGGAACATTCCCATCCTTCCCGAACCAGAGCCAGCTCATTCCCCCTGCACGCCACCCTTTCCGTATGCAAACCAGTATCATCATGCAGCCCACCAGGAGGGCCTTTGGGGGCCCAACCCACTGGCCAGCTCCCTCAGGGCTCTCCGCATCTCCTTAGGGCCAGGGGCTGGCTGTGTCTGTGCCCTTCTGACGGCTTCATCCTGCTGCCAGGCCCTGGCTTGGGGTCTGTTCGGGGGCCCCCTGCCTCTCTCTCCCCTGAGCACAACCCTGGCTATGGGGGCTTGCTAGCTCCCAGTGGGTAGGGCATAGGGCTCTGTTGTGGGCACTGACTGAATGTGCCTGGTGGGACACGGAGCTCTCAGCACTCACTCAGCCAGCTCCCAGGGTTAAAGCACATGGACTTGAGTCTCCTTTGTGGGGGAGAGATTGATTGACAAGGGCACAGGTGAGAGGGGGCTCAGGCCCCGAAAGCGAGACTCAGAGAGAGGGAGCAGAGCCGGGATGGAGACAGAGACATGGATGGGGAGGCAGCAAACCAGTACTAGACAGAGGGGGAAAGGGTTAATGAGGAGGACACAGGGAAGGAAATGATCCAAGCAGCTGGAGCCAGGCCCTGCCGATGCAGCTACACTGACAACTGGCTTCTTCCAAGCTTCAGTCATGTCCCCGATCTGAAACCCCCTGGACTTTCCGCTGCTCCTCCACGGCCTCACAGGCCAGGGAGGATGATGTATCAAACACAAGTTTGAGGGCATGCCACATCGTCGCAAAGCTGGTTTGATACATCAAAGGTGTTAACATGACCCAATCACTATCCAGCATGAAACAGTGCTAAACAAAGGTCAGGGCATGGTCTACAGAGACATCAGCCTGCTTAATACCATGGCAAACATGCCATTAAAAATCATTTTAACCCTTTGTTAAGATACAGAAAAGAAGGAAAAAGAATTAAAGCATTTGAAATGTAAAGTATTGAATAAGGTTTTTGTTTTAACAACATCCCCGGTCCCTTTCCCTTTCACTGGTGAGAGTGATTAGAAGGAAAACCTCCCTTATCTGACAGTCCCTTAGCTAGATCAAAGATGGTCATAACTGTTCTGTTGGGGGACATGAGAAGTTGGTTGAGCTGGGCTGCAGCTGTTGCCCCATTTCCTAAGAGAGAAAACGAGAAACACGCAAAAGAGGAAGAGGAAAGAACAGCAATGATAGAAACTGCGGCCTCTGTGTCTGGTTTAGCTGAAATCTCACTGCGGGAAAAGTACAGGCATGGTGATTGATCTTATCAGCCAGTCCAAGACCTGGCAAACCCGTACGAGCATCGGGCTGCTTAGGACGTTGCTTTTATCTGCCTCGCTGCTCAGAGGCTTACAGCAGTGTTCAGAATATACTGTCTTGGCCGGCTAAGCCAGACTCATATTAGACAGGAGGAAAAAAAGGGGAGGGATAGAGAAGAAAAGAAAAGATGGGGAAGAAAAAGGACCCCTGAAAGGGGTGGTACGTAACAAAGCCTCATGTCCCAGTGGGTGTTCAGGATACAGCCGAAGCTGGTGGAGGTGGGGATGTCCTCTGCATCTCTCTTTCTGGCGCAGTCTGGTCAAGACATCTGTCAGTGTCAGGGCAACCAAGGCCCAATAGAGTTACCGTAAAACCCGGGGTCCCAGGAGATAGCGGGGGTGGCAGTCCTGATGGTGAATCATGCTCCTTCCCCTTCTTTCCATCAGCAATTGTTGTGTTCATTTTCCCTGTTGATATATTACAGAGTCTGTTGTTTGAACACACTTTGGGTCATTATGGAATATAGCCAGAGTCAACCAGGTTTATGAGTATGGCACAGGAAGAAGGTTCTATATGATGCCAATCTCCGAAGAGCTGCCCATGCAGTGATGTTACATTAACTTTACACAGAAGTTGTGCTCCCCAAGTTACACATTTCAGCTGGGATTATTTATATGATCTCGCACATTACACATGACTTTACACATCACTCAAATCCAACCTATCAGTTTGTCCCAGGTCCCAAACTGGTTCCGTTCCTGCATTATCTTTGTTCATCCTTGAGGGCTCTTCCCAAGCTTGTACTAAGATACATAAAATGAATGTATCCTGATTTTGACAATTTCCTATCTGCTTGTGCCAAATGCTTGCTTCAGCAAATGCAGGGTGTTCTGGGATACTTGGCATAAGTGAATAGGATTATGGGCTAGGCCAGTTTACGCTATATCACTGTTATAATATTTATGTTTAAAGTTATTGGTGCTTAAGGCATATGAATATAATATATGGTGTGGATAATAGATATTATTAA